TGCCTGAAGCAATCGTTTATATTTACTAGGCATTTTAGTGTTGGTTCAGAAAGCTGAAAGATCTTTTGCACCGGACTAATATATCTTCTGCTTGATACACATGCTCAACACAGCTCTATTTGGGAGCTGGAAGTTGGAAATCTTGATTTTATCTGGACTCTGTTTACATTTTTGGCTCCAAAAACATTCATAAGTGATGTCCACAGGAACTTGGCAGCCATTGAAAACAGATCCGGAATTAGCGCTCGATGCTCTTCATGGTGGAAACCTCCATCGCAAAAACATCCTGAGGAAAGGGTTCTTTTATGAGAAGACTGCAGATCGACAGCCTGTATTTTCCGCATCGGATATTCTCAGTTTGTATGATGTCCGAGCCATTTATATACGGCTTCATGGACGACCAACAAACGTGATTTACCTACATTCCGCAAAATCCTCGCTCTTAACCAACTATGTTATCCTTCTTGCCTCTATCAGCTAGAATGATGGACTGCCATTTTTGCACACGTCCAGCTTTTGCTTGTGCCCTCTTGGAGTATAGTCCAGTCATTTCATATCATCATATGTGTTATTGCGCACACCGAGCACTTGTCGTCTCAGTCCTGGAAGACAAGAGACAGATCAATTTTTTACCGCTTGCATGAAGTTTTGTAAATCTATCGAAACGGAGAAAAACGTAAAGAAAACACCGAAAAGGCTCGCCTATTGGAGAGTCTGCCCGAAAAATTCAGGGTGAAGAGCACAAAGATAGACACCGTGTGCAACGACACATATGATCATATGAGACCAAGCTGTATACACTTTCAAGCTATAGCATTGTTAGTAATGTGGATGATTATGCACATAGCACTTTTCATAGCAATGTTATGTAGCAAATACCATAAGTTGATGTCAAAGCTGCAGATTTTTTTACATTTGTAAAGAAATCTTATGTGTTTGTTGTATGTCACTTATTACAGATGCTGCAAATGAACTCTACCGGATATACCGTGATGAACCAGCAGCAGCTTGATTTGGTGTATGGTCCCGGATCACCATTCAGTGACTCATCCACGCATGCACGATTAAGGAATACTTCTGCTGCTGAGATTCCCAGAGCTGTAGAATCTACTATCAGAGGTCTAGCTTCTGAAGCCGTAGCATTCAAGGCCCAACGGAGAAAAGACATAATTTTGTCTCCGCTCCTCCTCAGCAGTATCATTGCCGATCCAGCAACTGCTTCGCAATCGCTTGTTCTCTCCCCTGTACTTTTAACTCCTCTCGTCTTCTCTCCAGCCATCTTTGGAGGTGTCATACTATCTCCTTGGGCGTTTGTACCTGTACTAGTGTCACCTCGAATCCTCTCACCAGTCATTATATCCCCAATTCTGCTATCACCCGTCATCCTTTCGCCTCTTGCTCTTGATCCACTAGTTCTATCTCCTGGAGCTTTAGCTCCATTTATTCTCACCCCACTTGTTCTCTCTCCTTTCATTATAAATCCCGTGGTTCTTGCTCCACTAATCCTAAGCCCTTTCTGCCTCTCTCCGTTCATCATAGTCCCTAATGCACTTTCTCCCCTAATATTATCTCCCTTTGTTCTTTCACCACTCATACTCGCTCCGGTAGCAGTTTCAGCTTTTGTTCTATCTCCATATGCTCTTTCGCCCATTATTCTTTCTCCTGGTAAACTTTTCACTGCTGTGCTTTCACCAACGTGGCTTAGTTAAGGTTTCATTTCCAAACTACTGGTATTGTTACATACATTACATAAACATATTAAACTTATTACAATATAACAAAGAACAAATCAAAGATGTTAGTCATACATGAAGTATGGACAGAATCAAACGGCTCATCATATGAGTCTAATCTCCTAAAAGTTACATAAAGAATGAAAAATGCTTGCGTAGACAACGAACAATTGTTGATATGAGCATGAAATCTATAAGCCATGTCAATCAGAATGAACATAGACTTTGTACATTGGTCAAACTGTATTGAGCGTGCGTGAAAAACACATTTATATTACTACCTCATCCAGCAATAGTGTTGCCCTCCATACACGCTTGTGTCCATAGTGGAGCCTGTGGTACCTACAAGCAGTTATCCGGTCATGAAGAATCAACATAC